TCTCTCTCTCTCTCTCTCTCTCACACACACACACATACACACGCACACATATACATGCATCTTCTTTTCTTCAGGTGTCAGGTCTGGAGCAGACATTGATGATCATGGTACAACACTCCTTCCTGTTGTTTGCCACCCTGATCAGCTCAGTTTTTCTTATCACGTTATTTGTTGAAAAGCTGTCACGCAACTTGTGTATAAGAAGTTTTTGACAACAGGAATTATAACACCCTCCCCTCCAAAAACTCCTCCCCTCCCAAAACTCGCGACCACTCTCATTTAAATTTATGTCGGTATACGCATAATATCCAAGTGTGATGGTAGTCTTTTGGTGAAGCTACCTGACCGGTTATTGTGAGATTGTGAGTTCTTGGGTTCGAGGCTCACCTCAGTACGACTTTGTGTCCATGGGGAATGCACTTTATAAAACCTTTCCCACCTGGCTCGGTCCTATCGGAGATGAACCTTAAATTCGGAAGTCCTGTCAACTGAATAACTTCACAGTGTTGCAAGGGACGTTAAACCTATCCAATTTCAATCTAGCACGCAAATCCAAATAGCGACAAAAGTGTGTGTGTGTGTGTGTGTGTGTGTGTGTGTGTGTGTGTGTGTGTGTGTGTGTGTGTGTGTGTGTGTGTTTGTCTTGCTTCAGTTTTGAGTATTGAAAGGGATATGTTTTTCAACAAAATACACAGTAAATAATCATGCCCCTTATTTTTTTGGAAAAAACAATTTTTTTCTGTTAATCTAATTTCGCTTCTGGGTACTGTCTATGACAGGACTATCAAGAGATGAACGGGTTCGGTCCAGCCCCAAACAAGTCCAAAGTGCCGATGTACATTATTGTAGATGACGATGAGGAAGCAAAAGAACCCGACCCGGAGACGCTGAAACCCAAAAACTCAAAGAACAAATATGCCAGAAGAGGATCTGTATCGGCAGAAAGGTAATGGACCTTTTGTATATCTAAATTTAACGTTGTTAGGTGTTTGAATCCCCCATGGACACAATATAGATAATTCAGGAGGAAGGCTTTTTCTACCCTGTCTTTCAGGGCTGACCTGGGCTGAGTAGTGATACAAGGTCCCAGCAAACAGGCGGAGATACTTGATGTCTCTCCTCCCCACCCCCAACACGGGAATCAAATCCACATCTTCTGAGTGCGACAACAGCGCACCCAACTGCTACACCACAGGCTCGATAACAAGTGCGTGAGAGACTCGTTATTTTACTTGGGCTATAAGTCGATCCCCCCCCCCCCCAAAAAAAAAGAGTCGTATAAAAGAGTTTTTTTGTCTTTCCGGTGCCAGAGACCAGGAAAATGACAATAGCAAGTAAAGAATATATATTATTGATACTGAAAAGGAATATTCTGGAATTATACTCTGCTCCCAGGCATGATCGGCGTCGGTGGCCTAGCGGTTAAGCTACCGGACCCGTAATCGTGAGATTACTGGTTCAGGGGATCGAGTGTCAGCTCGGCCCCACGTTGTGTCCTTGGGAAAGACACATATTTACACGAATTTCTCATTTGGCTTGGTCCTTTCGGAGATGGACGTTAAACTCGGAGGTCCCGCCTCTTAAATAACCTAATAGAGCTGATAGGGGAATTATACAATTACCATTTCACTATTTCTTCAGGTATGATCCGGAGGCAGATGATGTAACTGACGACTCCAAAGTTGTCCACTCAAAGACCGACAGTCAGCGCGAGCGGCTGGCAGAGGCAGTCAAAGGCATCCTTCTGTTCAAGTCTCTGGATTCTAATCAGTTGAGCGACGTGGTGGATGCGATGTTCGAGAAAAGGGTGACACCGAATGAAGCGATCATCAAACAGGGCGATGACGGAGACAATTTTTACGTCGTCGACAGAGGTAAGCTAAGAGCTGGTGCAGACTATCAAGCAGGCTAGTTTACATTCAAACTGTAATTGTAATCAAACACTTCAATCGAACCAGTTTACACGATTTAGAGGGCGGGCTGCCTTAACCTGCCTATCGGGGCCGCCCGGTGCTGAATGAATTACGACATCCGAGGAGACAATTGAAAAAAAAATCCTCACCCTGAAATCAAACTCACGTCTTCTGCGTGCAACGAAGAACCCGATCATTACAATACAGACACCGCTAAACTACTCTAAAGCATATAGGAAAGAAAATAATAACAACAACAAAATAATTTCTCTAAGCGTTAATGAATGAACATTATTTTTGATACAAGTTTGAATAAATGCAAACGTAACTTTCTACTTCAATTCTTTAGAACAACAATCTTTCGTGAATGACGTCATTGGGACCCACATGGACATGATTGTAATTATATGTACCTGTATATCAAATATGACAATGAATAGCCAGAAAGCTAGACGCTCAAAGTATAAGAGCGTATAGACAGAAAGACTTCTCGCTCTCACTAGACACATTGAGGGCGGCAGAGGCAAAAGTAGACCAAGAGTGGGTAGGAGGCGAGGGAAGACCACTAAGTCATTGCTTTTTTGAGAGCATCTGATTCCGAGCAGAGAACTGAGTGGCGAACTATAGGTGCCGGTGTCTGTTTCAGGTCTGGTATTTCACGATGATGATGATGATGATGGTGATGGTGATGATGATGATGATGATGATGATGATGATCATGATGATGATGATGAAGATGATTTTCAGTACTGTATTTAAATTTTGAAATTCTATGGTCTCCACTCTTTTGTGTTGTTCCTTTTTTAAAATCTTCGAACTGTCAACAACGATGATGATGATGATGATGATGATGATGATGATGATGATGATGATTCTCAGTACTGTATTATAAATTTTGAAATTCTACGGTCTCCACCATTTTTTCGGGTTGCTTTTTCATCTTCGAGCTGTCAACAATGGTGACGATGATGGTTGTGATGATGATGGTTGTGATGATGATGATGATGATGATGATGATGATGATGATGATGATGATGATGATGATGATGATGATGATGTAAAATACGTTTCAGGTCGCTTCGGAGTTCTTGTGGGTGCAGGGACGGACATGAAACGCGTACATCAGTTCGACAACAGCGGCAGCTTCGGGGAGCTGGCTCTTCTCTATAACATGCCACGTTCGGCGACAGTTGTGGCGGAGACAGAGGGAATTCTGTGGGCGATGGACCGCCAGTCTTTCAGAAGGATTGTACTGAGAGCTGCTTTTAAGGTAGGCTTATATGAGAAATGTATCGGTTATACGCCCTCATCTACAAAATTCAGATCGTTTAGGAGCTTGGTTGCTTCGATCTTGTCTATCATGGCCAACCGGGATGAGTGGCGTCGGTAGCCTAGTGGTTTTGCCTCCAGACTCGTAATCTTGAGGTTGCAGATCTTGGGGTTCGAGCCTCAGCTCGGTCCGACGTTGTGTTATTGGGAAAAGCACTTTACATGAAATTCCCAATTGGCTCAGTCCTTTCGGAGATGGATGTTAAACTCGGAGGTCCAGCCTCTTAGATAACCTAATAGTATTGATAGAGGCGTTAAACCTATACCTTTTTCAACCGGGCAGAGAGGCATTCGGCGTTCTAGCAGACAAACGGGAATGCCCGATTCTCACCCCCCCCCCTCCCAAGGGAATCGTACTCACATCTTCCATGTGTAAATGAAGACAACGTACACTTGATATAATTGTTATTTTGATCAGAAGAGTACACGGATGAGGTGGATTTGGTTGAGCGAGGATGGCGATTGAGAGAGATAAAGAAGAAAAGTGGGGGAGGGTTGGGGGTGGGGGTGGGGGGCTATTGACATTAGAATGACGGCCTAAACAAAACATTTAGTCTCTTGTGCACTTGTGTGTTCGTAGGGGGGGGGGGGGGGGA